CCAGCCTGAGCCCCTGTGAATGGGGAGCTGAGCCCCTGCTCTGCCTTAATGACTCTGATTAATTGAGTTTGAGTGGTGGGGGAGGCCTGGGAGTGACAGGAGCAGATTCCTGCTGTTCCCAGGATCCACTTTGGAGGTCACCTGGCAGGGCAGAGCTGTGATATGAAAAGCAAATGTCTGTGTTTGTATTGGATGTGCACAAGCACAGGGAACTCACTGGCCAGCAGCCACCATTCCCAGGGAGGGGAAGGGAATTGCTTCCATTTCCCAGCTTTTGCTTGGGAACAGCCACCAGGGCTGGCCTCTGTCACCTGCCCTGGACATCAGCCAGGCTGGACCCGAGTGCCAGGGCCTGGAGCAGGGACAGCTCTGCAGGGCAGTGCCACAGGTCACCAGCAAGGACACGATGGCACAGCAGGGACAGCCAGGCTGTGCTGGGAACGGGACTGAGCTCACCCTGCTGAGGGACTGTGGCACAGCTGGGTGCACTCTGCCACTGGGGCCTCTTTGGAAGAGGGGATGGAGAAAAACGGGCTTCAAAGAACAGGGAGGTCCTACATGGGAAATTCAGAGTTCCTGACATCAGACAGGTTTGATCCCTTGCACAATGAAGACTGAAGCCACAGGGTGCTGTACTCACCTCCATAGACATCATCCATGCAGATAACTGTGTCCCCTGTCTTCAGCAGGTGACAGATGTTCAGAATTGCTCCCACTCCAGAGGAATAAGCCAAGCCTGGAGGAGAAATCAGTATTTGATGTGACACAAGTCAGACTTGCCTTGATCTTCCTCACTTTGCCTCTGCAAAGAACCTGTTCTGTCACTGCCTCAGTGGGAACGTGGAGCCAGTGACAGCAGGAGCTTGATGTGCACAGCACAGAACCAGCACAGACACTGGGACAGACTGGGAGCAGACAGGGAATGGACTGGGAACAGACGGGGAATGGACTGGGAACAGACGGGGAATGGACTGGGAACAGACTGGGCTGCCTGCTCCCACTCCCACTGCCTCCAGTGCTGCTGCACAAGGATGGATCCAGCTCAGCCCAGGCATCAGCCACAGTGAGGAAAGAGGAGAGAAACCCAGGGATGGAGCTGGGCTTTCCTAAATGAGAAGTGCTGGGCTCTTCCCCACCTTGGAGCTGCTCCTGCCCACAGCCAACAGCCAGAGCCGTGGTCACAGAACCATGGAATAGTTTGGGATGGAGGAACCCCAAAGCCCACCCAGTGCCACCCTCTGCCATGGGCAGGGACACCTCCCTCTGTCCCAGGCTGCTCCAAGCCCCACTGTCCCCATCCCTGAGGTGCTCACAGTATTTGGCTCCATCAGCAGCAGCCAGGTTTGTGCAATCCACGAGCTGTTTTTGGCCTCCTCCAGCTCCATCGAGGACTCCCACAACCTCCTCCAGGATATGGCGGCTTGGGTTCCCAAACCGGCTGTACTTATAACGCTGGGGTGGGAACAGGAAGCAAACTTCACAGAGAGCACTGGGAAAGTTTGCAATAACAGCAGTTCTGGGTTCCTTAAAGAGCCCTGGCTGAGGGCATCCAGCTCCTCCCAGAGCAGCAGGAGGGTGTCCTGGCACAGCATCCAGCTGGGCACCCCCACGGCAGAAAGGGGCCTGGGGTGCCCTGGGGCAAGGAGCCACATTCTCCTGGGTGCCCAGACATCCATCTGTGGGCACTGTGGGAGAAAAGGTCCTGGGCTGCACAGCCCAACCACCCTCGGAATGCCAGGCTGGGTCAGGCTGGAAGGGACCATGAGGGTGCCCAGGTCCCACTCCCTGCTCAGCGGGGCCATCCCAGAGCACAGGGCACGGGATTGTGTCCAGACAGTTCTGGGCATCTCCAGTGAGGGAGACTCCACAGCCTCTCTGGAGGCAATTCTCAGGGAAAACGTGTGTCCATCTCCATCACACTCTGTTCAAGAGGTGCCACAGGGCACTGGACAATTCCTTCCCATCAGTTCTTGAAAGCCCAAACATTCCTCTGGCAATGGCTCAGTACCACATCTTTAATACAAATTCTGGAAAAATGTAAAGGAGGAAAAACAAACTCATGCACGTGTCCCATTCCCCCAGGGGGCAGAAGGGCAGGAAGAGCCTCCCAGATTCCCGGCTCCGGGCAGCCCCTGGAGCAGCATCCCTGCGAGCCCGGGGGCACTGGGTGCTCCCTGCTCCCCTTCCCCCGCCTGCCACACGGGGATCATCCCAACCTCATCGCAACCTGTGCCGATCCCGGAACCCCAGGCTGGGCCAGGGACCCCAGCGGCTCCTCCGGGCCCATCGCTGCTCGGCGGGGCCTTCCCGGAGCCCCGGCCGGGACACGCCGGATGTGCCCAAGCCGGAGCGGGGCTCGCTGTCCCCGTGGTGGCCGCACTCACCTGGTCCCTCCGGGGATCCTTCTGCTTGAAGCTGGTGGACAGCGTGATGGGCGGCACCACGGCCCTGGAGTTCCACTGCTCGGGCTCCTGAGCGAAGTGGATGGCGTTGGTGGCGAAGTGAGGGAAGGCCGGCAGGAACTCCGAGCACCTCTTGTCTGCCATGGTCGCAGCTCCGTGCCGAGCCCTCAGCCCGGGCCGCATTTAGCGACACCGCGCGCTCGGCGGGGCGGGGCCTTCGCACCTTCCCATTGGCTGCGGCGCCGGCGGGGGTGCGGCTTTCGCGCCCTCCCATTGGCTGCCGGCGGGGCGGGGCTCCTCGCTTCCTCCCATTGGCTGCGGCGCCGGTGGGGTGGGGCCGCCGCGCCCTCTCATTGGCTGCCGGTGGGGCGGGGCCCGCCCGCCAGGGGGCGCCCGCGTTCGCGGCGCTGTGGGGCCGCTGCAGGGATTCCCTGCCTTGATCCCGGGGAGCCTTTCCCAGGAATAACCGGGAACAACCGGGAATGAACCCACAGAACCCCGCAGCACCCGGCTGACCCCAAGGGTGATACTATTGAACGGGAAACAGGCACGTGTTCTGGGCTGCTGGTTTTGTTTTATCTTCCCTACCCTCAAGTGATTCGGTAACCAGCAGGGTGGTGTGGTGAAATGGAGGGCAGGGACAGAGGAGAGGCTCTGCCCACAGCCATTAAATTTGGGAATGGGCTCTCAGTGCCATTCCGCCGCCAGCCTGGCGATGATCCCATCACACCTCCTGTAAACACGCCAAAAACACCAATTAAGGGGACACGTGCCGTGCCCAAACCCGGCTTTTCCACAGAGCGAGATGAATCCACCGGAGATGCCGATGAGAGATGCCTTCCGTGCACAATTAGTCAGAGGTGGGGCAGCAGCCTTAAACCCTGACGAAATCCTCATCCTGGCAGCACTAATGCACAGCCCCATCAATCATGCCTGACAGATGGCCTGGGATGCCAAACACACAAGCCAGGCATGAGCGTCAGCCCATTAGTGCTCTTCGGAGCATAATTGATGCAGCTCTCAAACGAGGCAACAGCAATCAGGGAGGAAATCCTCCAAACACGCAGACATCAACAACAACAGGCTCTCAGGAGGGACAGCAAGGACACCTTGTCCTTCCCAAAAGCAGGAGTCAAAAAGGGAATAAAATCCAGATAGCATCTGGGGAAGGTAGAAGCTCATCAGCCTTGTGCTTCACTTGCAAGGGAAGCTACTGGCAGGGGTGGGACAAAACTCAGAATTGGTGCCTGGTGGATTTGTCCTTCCTTTCAATGGGGGAACCTGTCCAGGCAATCTTCCCCCTGGGTCGGTTTTATTTTTCCTTTTCAGAAACTAATGCTGGGAATGATGCCAGCGCATCTCCAGTGAAGATGAAGTTTTTCTCCTCACAGAAGCAATCAGCAGCAGCATGAAGCAGACTGGACATGAGCATCTCCAAGCCTGAGCCATGGGAGGGACACCCTCCCTTTTCCTGTCTGTAGTGGTCACTCTGCTGACAGCTGTGCCCACACTGGAGCCTGAATGCATTTCAAGGACCATTGCTAGTGAGGGCAGTGATAATTGTACAAATCTAGGAATTCCACCTTGTAACTTGAATTTGGCAGAGGGAAAGTTCACTGCAATGTGTGAAACACAAGCTGCAAGCACTGAATTCACTCCCTCAGCTCCCCACAGACGTCCCTGGGGGAGCAGGGCAGATGCCAGGAGAAGCTGCTCAGTGAGAATTACACTGAAAGCACTGCTAGGGGATGCTCTGGGTGCAGCTCTGGCTCTCAGCTGTGCAGACACCTCACTGCAGCTGCAGTTCTAGGCAGGGCTGTGCAGGTGCACTGCCCACTGAAATCCCAGGTGAGAGCTGGGATAAGTGGCAAACTCTTGCTGCATGCATTGTGTGAGAATAACTGGCATGAATTGGTGGAAGTAACACGATGAAGGCACAAAAAATTTGCCTGGACACTGAGCAGAACGTTGAGCGTTTTGAAATGCATCTGAGATGAAATTCCCAAAACTGTGCTTATATATCTGCAGGAAAGGACTGTGTTTGTGTGAGGATCTTTGTGATCCCCTACTCACACACTACAGCTCTGCAGAATAAACAATCACTCAAACAGCTCTGTTTGTAACAAATAAGGGATGCAATTTCAACAATTCCACTCCTGCCACAACCCCTGAATTACTGCAATCTACACATCCCATCAAGGTTTCCTGCTGACTCCTATTGGAATAAATTTGGCACCGGTCAAAAAATTCCTGGAGCGTGACCCGTGTCAGCTACTGGAATGTGTCGGAAGTGATGGACACAGAGCTCTAATTAATCACTGTTCATCAGGAAACAGGAGAAACACAACATGGTTTTCCATGGTTTTCCATGGTTTTCCATGGTTTTCCATGTCCTTGTCCACAGGCAGAGAGAGCCCTCCCAGGAGTGATCCCCACAGTGAAAATACATCACAGGATCACAGAGTTACAGGATCACAGGATCAGGGGATCAATCACAGAATCCCAGGATCACAGAATCACAGAGTCACAAGATTACAGAATTACAGGACCACAGAGTATCAGAATAACAGGATCACAGGATCATGGAATCACAGGAGCACAGAATCAATCACAGAATCCCAGGATCATAGGATCACAGAGTCACAGAGTCACATTATCACAGAATCCCAGGATCAAAGGGTCCCAGAATCACAGACTCTCAGAATCACAAGGTTACAGGATCACAGTCACAGGATCACAGGATCAATCACAGAATCACAGGATCACGAGGATGGAAGAGACCTTCAAGTTCATCAAGTCCAACCCAGCCCATCACCTCAACTGACCCATGGCACCCAGTGCCACACCCAGGCTTTGTCAAACACATCCAGGGATGGGGACTCCACCACCTCCATGGGCACACCATTCCAATAATTGATCACCATTTCTGTAAAAATCTTCTTACTAATATCCAACCTACATTTCCCCTGGCACAGTTTAAGGCTGTGTGCTCTGGTTGTGTCAGTGGGGCCTGGAGACAGAGACCAAGCCCAGCTGAGCACAGCCACCCTTCAGGGAGCTGTAGACAGGGATAAGGTCACTGTGAGTCTCCTTTTCTCCAGGCTGAACAACCCCAGCTCCCTCAGCCGTTCCTCACAGGGTTTGTGTTCTAAGCCCTCAGCAGCCTCGTTGCTCTCCTCTGGATGCACCCAAGCATCTCCACGTCCTTCCTCAACTTCCTGAATGCGAGTCCTGGGCTGAGCCCTCGCTCCTCGAAGGCTGCTCTGCTGGGGAGATGCAAAAGGATCCGCAGTGAGCATTTCCGTGCCCTGCAGGGGAATTCCTCACAGCTCCCTCACCCTGACTGTGTCTGTGCACACACAGCGCCCGTGCTCGGCCAAAGCTGCCACAAATGCTGCTCTCCGAGGTGTTTGAGTTCAAACATCTCGCGAAGTTCGGCCTGTGAGCAAGGTTAAGTCATGGCTTTTAAGGCAGGTGAAATGCTGCCAAGCCTGTTCTTTGCCAAGCTGCTCAGTCCCGCTCTGATTTCCGCGGTTCAGTTAAGAGCTGTTGTCATTGCTCTGTTCCATTGTTAGGGTTAAGCTGTACCTTAAGCGAGTTGTAAGTCAAGTATTGTTCCCGTGTTAAATTGTTATGTTTGGGGTATAAGTGGAGCGCTATTCAGTCTGAGTGCTGGGCAGCTTTGGGCCACGTTCCTTTTTATCTCTGCCCTCCTGTCCTTTTGTCACAAACAAACACACCCCGTGGATGCTGTCAGGCTCTCTGTGCCATCGCAGGCGCTGCCCACGGCCCAGCCCTGCAGGAGCCCCAGCCTGGCGATGCTCCCAGCACAGCTCCTGTCACCACCAAAAACCCCAAGCAGGGGGACCCGGGCTGTGCCCAGACCCGGCTTTAGCACAGACCAGGGGAGCCCAGCAGAGATGGGGCCGCTGCCCCTGAGCTCAGTCCACATTTTGAGCCGAGCTGATGGGGGAGAAGAGAACGAGCTGAGAGCAGGAACAGGAGCCAGCCCTTGTGCCCCAAAGGCTGCAGCAGCAGCACAAACACTGAGCTCTGCTGGCAGAACTGGCATCACATTCCTGGGGTGCCCACGGCTGCTCCCACACAGCTCCGGGCTCCAGACAGTGCCAGGGAGAGCCCAGGCTGTGCCCAGCACACCCTGCACAGCCAGGGAGAGCCCAGGAACCCAGGCTGCAATTCCCAAAGGCAAAGCAAGAGGGGCTTGGTTTTCCGTGTCCTCGTCCACAGGTGGACAGAGCCCTCCCAGGAGTGATCCCACAGTGAAAATTCATCACAGGATCATGGGGTCAATCACAGAATCCCAGGGTCACAGGGTCACAGGGTCACAGGATCACAGGGTCACAGGGTCACAGGGTCACAGAATCACAGAGAGGATCACAGGATCAGAGGATCATTGGATCACATTATCACAAAATCCCAGGATCACAGAGTCACAGAGTCACAAGATTACAGAATTACAGGATCACAGAGTCACAAAATCACAGGATTACAGGATCACAGAGTCACAGAATCAAAGTCACAGAATCACAAAATCACAGGATTACAGGATCACTGATCACAGAGTCACAGAGTCACAAAATCACAGGATTACAGGATCACGGAGTCACAAAATCACAGGATTACAGGATCACATTATCACAGAATGCCAGGATCAAAGGATCATGGAATCACAGGATCACATTATCACAGGATCCCAGGATCAAAGGATCCCAGCATCACACACTCTCAGAGTCACAGGGTGACAGGATCACAGTCACAGGAGCACAGGTTCAATCACAGGATCACGAGGTTGGAAGAGACCTTCAAGTTCATCGAGTCCAACCCATCAGCTCATCTGACCCATGGCACCCAGTGCCACACCCAGGCTTTGTTAAACACATCCAGGGATGGGGACTCCACCCCCTCCCTGTGCAAATCTTCCCCATACTTTATCACCATTTCTGTAAAATTAAGTTAAAGTATAAATAATATAAGTGTTAATTCTTTATTGGACTGATTCATCTTTAAAAACCTTCTTACTAACTAAATTAACCTCCACTTCACTCACATTTAGGTAGTAGCTAAAAGTGTTACAAAACTCCCTGTACTTTAAATTAAATTGAATAAACAACCAAATCCAAACA